GCGGTGCCAGCAAGGGCTAGCCGGATATCCGGCAATGGCGCAGGCAAAGGGAATGAGACGTGCTCAGTGCACGTTTGGGGCAATCAGCTATCCTTCCGCTGAAGGTCGATCTGAGCCCTATGGAAATATATATATATATATACACATGTATGTATATATATAGCACATTCATGTACGATCTACTCGGGCCGATAGGAAACCCGATGACGGTGCTTTGCTTCGGCAGCCTCCAAAAGGTCCCATCTGTGTGTTGAAGGACCAGGATCTCCGGGACTCACTGTCCTGGAGGCAGGTCTACGTACCGTGTTCCATCAGCCCGAACGGCATCCAACATCCTCCGCTAGCAAGCGAGTGGCGAAAGCCCTGTGCGGGTATAACTTTCAGAAGTAGGCCTGAGGCTTGACCAGAGCCCTGCGATGCTAAAGAACCCAGTGAAGGTTGCGAGTCCTCGTCATCCCCGGCTTCAGATGCGACCTGAGAAGGGTCAACCAGGCAAGTTTGAAGAGGGCGAGCAGCCGGCATGGAGGCCGTGCAATGAGCCGAGCAGCTTCCGATGGAGCGCCACTCTCCAGGCCACCGTCCATGTTAGAGACGAGAGACCTCTGAAGAGACACCCGAAGGAAGGGAAAAACGCCTGACAGAAAAAGTGCTATCCACCCGCTGTCTTCTGCGGCCACGGCATGGTCTTCTGTGAGCTTGATCCTGTCTGACACACGGCTAAGATGACGACTGAAGGCTCTGGGCTCTGGGGTCGCTGCGCGTTTGCTCTTCAATATCGCCCCCTGGCTGTCCATCGGCTATCTCGCTACCAGGACTGCCTTGACCGCTGCCTTCTCCATCCAAGTGTGATGCTGCCACGCTGTTCTTGCTGTCACCGCGATGGACTTGGCGGTGTGACCGCGGCGAAGTGCTCTTCGCGAGCTTAGCATGAGCAAGGCAGGATCAATTGCACACAACCAGGTCACAGGCAGCTTGCATCTGCATCTGTAGACTCAAAGAAAGGGTTGCATGGTCGCTCGGGCATCGAGAGCGAGAGCCCGGCTCTGTCAGGTCCATGTACCGGACATAGGAAGGCGACTTGCCTGCAGGAGCTTTTGTTCTTTCGAGCTTTCGAAGATGCCACGGCTAAACTTCTGTTCAGAGGTGTGCAGCTACGCGGGCTGAACACGGTAGGCCTCGTCGTGACGAATGGAGACAAGAACGACGCTTGTGTGTGGGGCACTGGCACCCCGATCTCACACACCTGCTGCAACGAAGCATCTGCCATATCAATCGACCCGAAGTAAAACGCTTAGAAGTTGAGCTGCAAATCCTGCCTTGAGGCCATTCCAGCAGTACCATTTCTCCGCATCATTGATCGCCTTCTCCGCCTCGTTGCCTGCATGGCCGCGCATCCCGATTCTCTCGTTTGCCCACCAAGGTTTCTTGGTTTTGGGTGCTGGCGGGCGACTTGTGCTGGTGGTGCAGCAGCCCAACGAGCAGGAGTAGGTGTAGAGTCGAGCGGCTGGCCTCTTTGCTGCCACAGGTGCCACGAGGGTCTGACTCAAGCCGAAAAGGTCTGAGCACTCAATCGCGCTCAGCCTTTGCTTGCGCTGGCTCAAAACGAATCCTTTCAGCTGAGCCGCTCGAGTTGGCAGCCGCATTTGTTGTCTTCTGAATATCTGGCAATATAGCTTTTGATCAAGGATGGGCTGTTGACCTCGGTGCTTTAAGATCTGCAGTATCAGAGCGCGCGGCAGCACTAGGCGAGTGGCCCATGCCAGTGGGTCAGACTCTCGACCCCGATGCTGTGGCCGTCCGTAGAAAATGATAATTGCCTGCGGTTCTGATGTCACCAGTTCAATACGGGCTCAAGCTTGAAACACGACTTCAAAGCAATGGCCCGGCCGGAAAGTCAAGAAATTCGTTCATCTCGAACACCTCGGCAAGCCACGTCATCCATCCAATGCATTGGAAACTCATCCTCAACACCGACGGAAGAGGACTACACAGAACGGAACTACACCATTAAGAGCTATTCGGACCAGCTCGAGGGCTGTCGGATGAGCATGGGAGTGTTCTGTTTTCCGTTTGGGAGCACCCTGGCCCTGCCTGGGGTAAGATGAGAGCAGCATGAGGATTATGCTCTTCGGGGAACTCTAGGCACCCCCTCGCGGCATACCGCAGGAGAACCGTGCACGCCAAGTGTCTGTGCGGCTGTCCTTCGTACCAGAAGCCTCAAGGTCTGTCAGTTGCTGAGTGCCGAAGGAAGCACCCTGCCGCTCGGCCTTGTTCGAGTTGTACTGATCCCCAATGTACTGCAACCTAGACAGAAAGTGAGGGAGGACTTGTGCGATTGAACTCCCAAACACTCGGAGACTAGGCCATCACCATCGGAGGTACGACGGGGTCGGATCCACACCCGCATAAAGCACCTGCCATGACATCCCGTCTTGGCCATCATGATGGAAATACAACATGCTCTTCGGTACATTGCGTGCAAAGGGCTGCTACGAGCCTGCCGCTCTGGAGAGAAAAGGAGCGCCGACAATGCCACGAAGGAGTCAATGCAAATGATGGGAACCTGTTCCTCAGTGACTCAGCGGTTATTCGAAGTTCTTGTATAGGATGGCATCAAGCCCTACGATAGAAGTCTAAGGAACAGAACGTGGGCGGATCTGCGAACTCTAAGCTCATGCAGCGATGGCCAAGAACGGTGCATATGCTTAGGAGATCGTAGGAGGCTCTGAGCACTCACATTACGGAAGCACAAGAGGCAGCTCCGCTAAGTGGTGTGCGAAAAGCAAGAACCCTTGGAGACGCAACTGAATGGTAATCAGGTCCACATTGACAACGTGGCAGCAGGAGAACAGCGACCGAATGAATCGCCACGAAGAACTAAGAGAGAACGCAGGCAATTAACAGACCAGCAGCAGCAGCAGGAGGAGGGGGAGGAGGAGGAGTACGAGTAGTAGTAGTAGTAGTAGTAGTAGTAGTAGTAGTAGAAGTAGAAGTAGTAGCAGTAGTAGTAGTAGTAATAATAATAACAAAACTAATCACCGAAAGCAACTGTCGTAATTGTAATGTTGAAAACACTATAACATGATAGCACGAGCAACAGCACCAGC